GGCGGGCAGCTCTCCCCCGAGTCGGCGCTGGTGGCTCCTCGCCTGGGGCGGAGTTGCCTGAAAGCCACCACCACCCCCCTTTGTCCTCCATGCCCAGAGCGAGCTCTCCGGCCTCCTCTGAGCCCGGCAGCGCCTCCTCCCCCCCGCACGGAGCCGCAGGCCCGCGCAGACACGGGGGGCCTCCTTCCCCAGCCGCCTCCTTTGCTACAGGTGCTGCGGGTGGCGAGGGAGGTTTCCTTCCCTGGCCCTCTGCCTCGCTGCGGCAGGCTCAGAGAGGTGTCACCTACATGTGCTGTTTCCTGCCCTGTGGCGCTGTACCATCCCGGCCCAGGGAGGGGCCAAGGCCTTCCCTCACCACCCAGAGGCAGCCCCCACCTGCGCGCCTCACTCATCATTCACTGTTTGCCCGTCTGCCGGTCTCCCAAAGGGTGCCTGCATGCCTGTGCTCCCACACCACCACCCAGTGACGAAAGGCAGCACTGGATGTGTCTTACTATGAACTATGCTCCTCACAACTATTCCCTTGCACTGTGGCATAACCACCACTCTTCAAAATCCTGACAACCAGCGAGGATACTCTACAACCTCTCTGAGAACTGTCACCACAGCCACGCTGGCTTCTTTCTCGCCTAAAAGCAAGCTCTGCGCTTATGACATGCCATTGCTCCCCTGCTTTCCACCATCACTTCACTCTCTACAGAGGCTGAGCCTCAAAAAGGGGCTCCAAAAACTGACAGGCACTTAAAAAGCCAGCCTACTTTTGGTCTGCTCCTTCGCACACACATACTGGAGCTTGTTGCTACCCTCCTTCAGGCCAACACCAGAAACCTGCCCTGCTGATTGCTCCCTCCTGGAGATGGACTTGGCCCTAATGTGGCCACAGTGCCCAGAATCTCAGGTGAAAGCACCTTTTTCTTCATCATACAGCCACCTCCTTCCACACCCTATCCGAAGTGCGTCCCTGATGAGAAACCTGCATGTGCCTGCCTGCACATGCATCTCCCTCACACTATAGCAACCATGTGACCCATTAAAACCACAGAGAAAAACCCTGCTACCCCACTCCCACCACTGCTGTCCAGATGCTTTGAAGCAACCTCATAGCACCCCAAAAAAATGTAAGCCATAGACACTGACATAATTGGCCTCACAAGCATGTGTGCACCTACTGCAACCTAGGGCATGCTCCTAGAGAACAGCAGACAACTGTACCTACCCAGATGCCAACTCTCCCCTTTCCCTGCTCCAAACCCCATGCCCATCAGGGTCAGGATATGGCAGAAAGGGCTTGGAGGTCAGTAAAAGCTCACCTTCATAACTGCATAGACCATAAAGGACTACCAGCCCAGCAGAACACCTTAGCCTGCAGCAGTACAATAACGGTGCACGCACTACTGCACAGCCAATACTTGCCTTATATCCTACCTGCAGCTGCACAGGACCATGCAGACAAGCCACCTCTACTAAAAAAAAAAAAAAAAACCCCCAGGTACACCGACACTCTCTTCCCAAGACTTGCACCTGCCTAAATTCCCTTACTGCCCTCGCTCCAGACGTGATAGTGCCCTTCCCCATGACCCACTGCCCGGCTGTCGGTCTGCACTTACCTGAACATACCCAAACTGCTCATCCCGACGTCGCCTTTTGATGCAGTAATAGGCAACACCAGCCCCAGCAGCCAGCGCCAGAGCAAAGCACAGCGCTAACAATGTGCCTGTGGCCACGGAGCCTGAAGACTGGGCTATGCTGTTCACCTACGAAAAGAAACAGTGGCCCAGTTAGGACACTCCCCTGCCTGATCACTGGGCTCACTAGTGGCTGGTCTCCTAGCACAACCACCCTGTTGAGGGCTCCACAGCATGACCTTGGGCAACCTGGCCAAAATAATGGCGCATGCCAGGCGAGTAGATGCTACAAACCCAGTTCTTGAGACCACATTATCTCCTCATTTCTCCTCTGTTCCCAGGCCTGACTCCACTGAAATAAGACAATCTTTCCCCATCCACGCTGTCAGATACCCACCTGACTGAGATGCACTAGTGGCGGTGGGATCCTCAGTGGTTCTGCAATTGCATGAATGATACCGTTGAAAGCTATGATGTCCCACTCCACAACCATCGTGTCATTGATCCCCTTGGCATCCTACAGCACACGACAGGATTTCACCCAACCAGGAAAAACCTCCCCTTTACAACTTGTCTCAAAAGAGACATGGTGAAAAATGCATTTTTTTTTTTTAAAAACCTCTTCAGAAGTCAAACTTACTGAGTGCTCTGTGCCATTCCCCACAAAGAGGTCTGAGACATGGAGACTGTATCCTGACTGGGAAGGGATGATGGTGCCTGTAGTGAGATTGAAGCTGAATAGCATGACATCGCTGGACGACACATGGAGCTTCAGTTCTTCTCCTGTCAGTGTCTGAAAAAGCAACAACGATGGGAGATGGCTGAGACAACTTATCCTTTCCCCTCTGTTCCTTCTCTGTGCATCCCCCATGTGGCCTAAGCCCAGCCACTCTCCAAGGTCACAACACAGCTCAGTTCATGGGCAACATGGGGGGAAAAAAAAAAAAAACGCACTACCTAGAGAAGAGGAAGATGACAATCCTTAAAAATACTCAAAACTCAACTGGACAAAGCCCCGTGCAACCTGATCTAAATGGCTCTGCTTTGAGTTGGGAGGGGGGGGGAAGGGGCTAGAGACCGCCAGAGGTCCCTTCTGAGCTAAATTCCTCAATCATCTTCTGGCTCCATTTCGTATCATCATAATGCCAGCTTCGACAAACTGCTGCTGCACTCTGGGGCTCTGATTGATAGTTTGTTCCATGCACCCTCCAGTGGCCACTCATCCCTGCTTGCTTACTTCATTGTCTGCGAAGCCAGAGTTCAAAGGAGCAAAGAGAGTTTTGAGAGCGGCGTCATCAGACAAATACATTAAAAAGGCCAGTCCTTCTTCTGTGTCATTGGCAAAATCAAGCAGCATCTGGAAAAGATGGCAGATCCTACCCATCAGCATGCCGTGGGCAGCTCAAGGCCATTATCTCACCACCCAGCAATTATCCCCAAGCCTTGGAAGGAAAATGCCTCTGAATTTTCATTTTCCACCTAACACATAGGCCAAACCACACACTCCGGCCTGCTGTTATGCTCAGTCCCTCCTTCTGCCTTGTTCTTGGCTGCTGGCATACTGAAGAACCAGGGGAGCATCACTTACGGAATAGAAGGTGGAGAAGCGAGCATGGTCCGCAAGCACATCCAGGAGTTTGCCACTGCATAAATACCCATCTCCCACGAACCCATCACGACAGGTGCAAATCACATCTGCAAAGGAACACCAAGGTGCAACTTAACTTGCCTGTGGTGGCTGCACTGGCCACCTCTCCCTTGACTTCCAGGTGCCTCTCGGTATATTCTAGCCCAACACTGGGCTGAGGAGAAGGGGATCTGCCTGCCCAGCGCGTCATTTGCCTCATGCTTTTAGGGCCGTTCTCTTCCACTTGCCCCAACGTGCTTCCTATGCCTGGCAGGACTGTCTCTGGGAAATGCCTCACCCTGGTAATAGGGCTCTGTGTTCTGCCAAGGGTGGTACCATAACCATGACCTGTCCTGCTTCTCCCTGAGCCTGCCAGGACACCAATCCCTGTAGCCAGATCCTGTGCAATGTACACAAGGGACAAGCTGCCCCAGAGAGCCGCATCACTGCTCTGCTGAAATATGAGACTACCTGCACATGCTGGCTCACGGCCACTCACCTTTCTCCCGATAGCAGAATGCATCCCAAGTCTCACTCAGATTGCTTCGGGAGCCGTAGTCTACAATGCCTACTCGATTAGCTCCACAGCTGGGATTGGGGTAGGCTGTGGGGTATCCAGCTGTGCCGTTGTCCAACCAACCCACCAAGCATAGATGGAAACCCATCTAGGAGAGGAAAACAGATCATTAGATTAAAAATAATACTGCCAGCCCAGATTTTCTGCCCTGATGCACACTTCTACTATGCCGCCTTATGCTACATTCCCCTGACAGCTAAAGGGCTGGATATTGCCAGAGGTCTTGTCCTGATGCAACTGGTGAGACACAGCAGCCCTCTTGGTTTCATGGGTGTAAATGGAGCAAAAGCTAAGGATGAGCTCAGCTTTGTCCATCCATCCCGCCTCAGCGTTGGCATCTTGATCATCCTGTAAGCGTGGGCAATGTGGCCGAGAGAAACCTTGAAGGTACTGAAAGCTGCCTTGGAGCTACAGGAACAATGATGAGGGAGGCAGGAACAGCAGTCTCAGGGATTACATTGGTGAGCTAAGGCTATTGTTAACATTCATCTTTAGGAAAGGCAGGTAGAAGGATGAGGGCCCTGTAGACCTTCAGCCCAGATGTTGTGCTGCAAAGAATGGCATATACCTTCTCTGGAGATTCCCTTCTAGTTGTATGACACAAATGCAAAAAGAAACAGTTGCCTGGTATCTTTCTTGAGGCTGGGTTTAAGCCACAGACCTGATCACCATCTGTGCTGATGAAACTGGCTGCATACACAAGGGAGAGTGGTGAATGGAATGTACCTGCTGCCAATACCATCTCCCATGACTTTCTCCTTTGCAGGCTGAGGAAGCACCCCCCCCCCGACCCAGACAGTTTAGGTGGTCACAGATTGACTATGCCACTGAGATCCAAACCCACTATCCTAGCAGGAGCGCAATACATGCTGAAAGGCAGTTCTGCACTCTGAGAAAGGTCCTGGTCCAAAAGCTCCCAGATGCAGCCAACAGAAAGCTTGTGAAATGCACAGATGAGAAATATACCTGGGCCAGATGAATCTTGCACATCAGTATGGGCTTGGGGCTGCCCAGAGCATGTTTACATGGATGATTCCTACCAACAAACCTATGGTTTGGCGATATCTGAGAAGCTATAAAGGCTGAGATTGCCACAGACATTTAAGAAAGCCCCCTTGGACCAGACTGGCTAGCTGAGTGCTCACCCACACATTACAAGCTAGCTACCTCCAACCAGGCTCAGAGCAAAGCATTGCATCCCCCCCCCCACCTCCCCCACCCCTCAAAGCTATGGAGCTGGCCCCTGTCAGACCTCTACATCCCTGCTCTGACCTGTTGTGCTGCTGAGAGCTGCCGGAAAGTGGCCAGGGAAGCACCTTCTGCTGCACAGGCCTTCTGAGCCTGCTCGTAAGTGAAGTCGTACTTTTTTCGGAATGACTGCAGATGAAATACGCCCACAGTTTTATCTGCAAAAATACCAAGGCCAGGAGCATCAGTACTACACAGTAAGCAAGCAATCTTCCAGCCTGCTCCCTGGAACAGTAGCGTGGCTAAGCTATCTGCCGTGTCCAGGCACAGACAGCACTGCCATGCTGCATGGGAGGTGTGGGAGCACAGGCATTACTCGAGGGAGTGCGAGGTGGGATACAACATGGCTTTCTCTGATCTTGTTGCCTTCTGGCATCACGAGGCAGTCGGTGCTTACTGACAATATAATCACACTGGAGGCTACCTTATGCCTGCCAAACAGTAGCACACAAGGACAACTCACCCTCCACCATATGACATGTAGGGGGAAAGGGGGAATGTGAAGACCAAACCAAGCTACAGAGATGAGTTGCTGGCCCCTCAGCCCTCCAACTGTCGATCTCTCAAAAAATGCCCCGGCCAGAAGGTGAAGGATAAGGGGCCTCTCAAAAGAACATGTGCATTAGCACCATGGTGTTGAGCATGCTCACCATGAAAGTGCAGGTCAGTGCAAATCGCCTCCCGATGGCATTGCCCATTCTCTTCCAGGCACCGATCCGTGGGGGGCACAGCCTCTTCTAGGCACTGGATCCCATCGCCAACATAACCCTGTTTGCACTCGCAGCGCCGCTCATTCTGTGACACAAAGAAAGGTTGACATTCGCATGAGTGTACACATGCAAACAACAGCCAGGGAATCTTATTTGTATGAAGCGGGGGATGAGCCTGTAGAACACACCCACAGCCCACCAGGACCATGGCAGAGCTAGAAAAGACCACATGGCCTCTGTCCTACCCCGACAGCCAACTGGAGACACACATGAACCAAACAAGGTCACACTGAATCTGTCAAATGCTGTTTGAAAGTTGGCTGAGCTTCAGGGTACATGGCTTGTGTTTCTTGTACTGCAGCATGTTCCCAGTCCCACCTTCTGGCCTACAGTGTGCAGCTCCAGTTCTGCTGTAAGGATGGCTGGCATCATCCTGGAAAGACTGTCCCAGGGCCCCCAAAAAGTCCAGGAGCGGCTGGCCACAATTGACACAGCTTATGTCCTTTGGGCAGAGGAGTGGGGAGAAACAGCCCCAGCATAACACCAACAGGAGACTGTCACTGCAGCCTGGCAGCAGACTGAGGGCATCAGCGCTGTAAGGGCCTGCAGGATGACAGCAATAGCTCAGGGGAACTGAGAGGATGAGAAGGTGTGGGCACTAAAATAACAAGGGATGCTATCGCATTGCTGGCCTCCTGCAGCCTGAAACATCCCATGGCAGCCACCTATGTTGTTCTCCCAGGCATGCAGAGCTCCCCGCATGTATGGGATGTACTCACTGGCCCAGTGCTGATGCAGTTGGCATGCTCACTGCAGTCCCCATTCCTACCATCCATGCATCTGTCTATGGGGTCACAGACATAGCCGTCGCCTTGATATCCAGGAGCACAGGTACAGGACATGTTGACGCCAACCTGTATGCAGTGTGCATGCCTGGCACACCCCCCATTGTCTGGGCTGCACATGTCAATCACTGCAAGGGACAGAAGTGTCAGCATGGGGACTCTGGGTCACTGGTGGGAGCTGTCCTCCCACCTCCCTCTTCTCTGTCAGTCCTTTCCCCCTCATTGCAAAAGGGAACAAGCTCCTGGAAACCAACTGCTGATGCCTGGAGGCCATTTAAAGCTGCACGACCTAAATGCCTTGCCAGGTCCTCTAGTGGTCCAACTGTCTTGCAAAGCATCCTACCGATATAGCCCTCCTCCGTGAAGTGGCTGAGGCACCTGCAGCCTTGCTGAGCTGTCCGCTTTCCCCTTCTCTCTCCGCCCTCCTACCCCGAACTCTTGTGACTCCCCACTACCTGAGCACATTCGCCCATCTCCTTCATAGTGTAGGTTGCATTCACACAGGTTGCCAGAGCGGCAGGTGGCTTGGGGATGGCATGGAGGAGAGCAAATGGGCGTCGTGACTGAAAGAACATACATGAGTCAGTAAACCATAAGCACACGTTCCAACAGCTGCAAGATGGGAAAGGCCACCACTGCCAGTTTATGCCACAGGCCATCTGTCCCATGTTCGCCCATCTTTCCCTCTGTGCTGTTCTGCATATGCCCTTTCATCTCCCTCTCCCAAACCCAGAGCACAGTTAGATATGCCTCAGCCCTTTGCCTCAGCTGTTGCCGTCAACTTCCTCCCCAGGATGTCTACTTAGAGCACCATCTGAGCTCAAGGGATTTATTCATGATCCAATGTAACTTCCATCCACCTCCTCATGACCCCAGGGCCCCAACCGTTGTGAGGTTCGATAACAATCGCTGGATCCTAGGATGAGCCCAACAACTGAGAGCTCAGTTTTGGAGACACTTCTGACTGGCTGGCCGAACAATTGAGTTGCTAGGAAAATGGCCACATGGCATCAAGTCCCAGGTAACAGTGGGTGGAGTAGCTGGGATTTTGTTTGGTGCAGGAGTTGCCACTCAGCAGCCCCAAAGAAACACTTCCCATCACTGCTGCATGAACACCATGCCATCAGGACTGTGCCTGCTTTCCTCTCCATGGTCTTGGGGACTGTTCCTCAGGGAAGCCCTCGCTTTTTATCTGGGGTGCCTGGCCATGTCAGGCACAAGGCATGAGCATGCCCCTCACAGAAGGAACCGAGAGGTTGGGCTTTAGGCAGCAGTGGGGTTTGGAACCTCTCACCTAGTTTGATTTCACAGTGTTCTCCAGTCCAGCCTTCAGCACAGAAGCAGGATCCATCGCCATGCAGGCCTCCATTGCACACACCATTTTCAGTGCAGTTACATTCTGTGAGGCATGGACAAAAACAGTGTTACAGCATCTGCCTCGGTGGCAGTGAAAGGCCACACTTAAGGGTGTAGACCATGGGACAGTCATGTGATGGGAACACTGCTTGCGTGGGCAGGGCGTGGAAGGCAGCGATGGGACTATGCACGCATCCCTTCCCACTGCTGCCAGCCCTGGGCCCTGTCTCTACGACACGCAATCTTCACACAGGAGGAAAAGTCTGCACTTGCAAACCCCCATCATTTCCCTCCCTTGGCCACTCCTAGAGATGCTTTCTCACTCTGAGTCCCTGAAACTACAAAGTCCTCAAAAATGTTCCTGCAAGCCCAGGAGCCTACCTCATAAGGTCCAGCTCTGGTGGAGTAAGACTCCATTTTCCTTTGCCTCACACAGGCAGAGGTCCCTACTGAGCACATCCCAGGATGGGCAGCTCTTCCAGTAAGGGGTTCGTGATGACTTGTGGACTTGTCCCCCAGCTCAAAGTGTGCCATAACGCTTACTGCCAGATTGGGGTTTTTTTACTGTACGCAACAAATGAGAAGGTGTCTCTGACCCTTGGGTCTCAGCAGAGGGGTGAGGCCATTGGCAACATAGCTGTGCCAGACACACAGCTCCCAGCATGGACCACCCAGCCTTATTGAAATTGCAGCTGGAGTGGCTGTCCTGTAGAGAGCCCAGATTGAGAGAGATCTGACCCAAATGCTGTGGAGACAGCTGCATACATGCACCGATTCCAGTAAAGTAAGCTGAACACCGCAGGACCTTTCTAGAAAAAATGGAGTAGGTCAGCCCAACACCTCCCACCTCTCCAAACAGCACTGTGTCCCTCAACCACTTCCCTAGAAACCCTCTGCACTGATACCACTCCACAGGCTTCCCCCTTACCTCTGCAGTGTGGCCCATATCTGCCTGGAGCACACAGCTCACAGCTGGTCCCAATGAAAGCCTGGCTGCAGTTGCATCTCCCCGAGCCACCAATTTTGTCATCGCAGGTACCACGGTTACTGCATGGCGCCTCCAGCCCTCCGGGGCACACTGCAAATGGGGCACCATAACAGTGGCTAGTGACAAAGCAACTCTGTGCTGGTGAGGAGCGCCCGTTCCCCCCTTTCAAGGCCTGGGCATCAGGCACCATACGAGCTGCCTGTTAGTGGGTGCTCAGACCACAGCACCTGCCAGGTGGTCCTTGAAGCAAGTGCAGCTCAGAGTCCAAGCCAGGGAGCTCCCCTTCCTTATCCTCTTGGAACAGGGATGAGAGGGGCAAATTTGGCATAGTTTCCAGCCTGGGATGACCCTCTGTTCTAACATGCTGAGTCAGTGCTGGCTGGCCTCACGCTAACTTGACTACAGACTCATCCAAGGACATATCTACCCTTGTAGGAAAGTTGCCCATGTATGAAGCACAGAGGAGAGATGCCTGGGAATGGCTGAGTAGCTGAAACATCTAGGGGTGAGGGATATGGCTGACAGCCACCTCCTTGCAAGCCTATGCCCATGACTGTCCACAGGGACATGTGTTTCTCAGAGGAAAAGGAACTCCCCATTACAATACCGTCCATGCGTGCTCCAAGCAGATTGTTCTTTGCACAGGCTACAGACTGGGGCTCCTTGCTAATAGTAGTGTGTCTCAGGAGAGGCCATGACTCCAAGGGTTGTGCCCACCTTTCCCCAGGAAGCATATTTATGGATGTCAGAAATCAGTGCTAAACCAAGAATGCCATCTTCCCATGGGAAAAAGGACCAGGGTGAGAAAGGGTCATGTGGCTCCTTACCCCGACAGTCACGGCCATAGTGGTTCACACAGCACTGAGGGACCCACTGGGTGGAAATACAGCTCCTCTTGCAGCCTTGTTTCAGAGGTCCCCTGGAAGAGAAGCGCCTTCTGAAGCGGTCCCACGGGGAGGGCGGCCAGGATGGCCGCAATAAAGAGTTGCGATGAAACAGAAAAGTGTTTCTGAACAGCTGGTTTCCGTAATAGTAGCAGCTCTTGGTTTCCCCCTGTGAGGAAACAGGCAAAACACAGAGTTTGCCGCATCGGTCACTTGATGCCATGTCTCTGACTCTTCACCTTGGCTTCTGTTGTCTCACTCATTCAATTTTATGACAAGTAACAAAAGCTTCCAGCCTGCAATGGGGCTAGTGACAAAGAAACCATGGCTGCACCTCAAGGATATGCCAGACGACCCTGAAGGGTGTGAAAGACAGTGGGCTGTGCTACTACAGTGAGAGCGAGGTGCAACCACTGCCCCCTATCTGCTCACTATCTCTTGATAAGCTACCCCCACTCAAGCAACAGGCTGAGCTCTCTTGCTGTAGAACAACTAGAAGAATTCCCAGTGCTGCTGCAGGTACAAGTTGGACCCTTGCAGCTGCTGTCACCCATAGGGATGGACCAAGCAAGGACCTTGGAGGCCCCTGACCTCATGTTGCTCAGCCCAGCTCCTGGCCTAAGAGACCACGCAACTCTTGACAGGGTACCAACAATGTGACCAAGCTAAGGGACCTCGCCAAATGCATATGTTCCTTCATTTTGCTGCTTAAACATGAGGAGGATGTTTGTATTGTTGTTGGCCCCACACTGGGCTTCCTTGGCTGACAAAGCTGTAAACTTTACCCGTTGAACTGAACCGGCAGGGCAGGGTGGCTCGAAACCACAAAGTCCACAGGTCTCTGAAGATCCCTGTGGAGGGAAGAAAGAAACCCCAAAACAACTCAATGTCCATTTCTGCTTCTCTCAGCTGCTTGGAGCTTTGCCAAGGAAGAGCAGTGAGCCCTGCGCACAGCCCTCTTCCTTCCCAGGCACAGGGATTGACAGAGGGCACAGGTCCTCATTGGCGACATCACAAGTGTTTACCTGCAACTCAACAGAGATGAACTCATTGCACCGAGATCCCAGATCTGGTGGTTCCAACAGCCTATCGATGCCATAAGCAATGCCCCCGTTGAACTCCATGTGCCTCTGGATGATCACGGCATCACCATTTCCCACCAGAAGCTCTCCCTACAAGAGAAAGAAAGCAACTTGTGATCCTGGCATATCCTACATCCTGGCTGCACCAACCAAAGGTTATCCTTTTTGGCTGCCATGACTTCTCAATCACCCCAAGAATCTCCGTGCTCTCGTGTACCTTCTCTTGCCTCAACCACCCTTCCCCGATTGCTGTCTTCTATGGCCACCTTTCCTAAGAAATTTCCTCTGCCCGTGCAACGCATGCTCTGTAAAAGTCATCGCACCATGTGGTTGGCTAGCAACCTGGCCTGCAGGTACCATGGGCCTCTGCCCTTTTTTGCCAGCTGGCCATACAGTCTCGAACCTGTCTACAAGCCTGCCTGTAGCCAGGGGAATAGGGTGTCTCAGCCGGCAGGCTCCCAGACTCCATGTTCATTTCCCACTGGTAACTGACACAGAGCATCAGTCACCCCATGGCTTTCCCAGGGACACTCACTCAATGGAAAGCAGAGCCCAGCATTACCATCACTCACAATTTGGGTTTTGCTGCAGCTGAACAAAACAGAAGAGCCATGCATGGTCCATACACGTTCGACTTGGGGCACATTACCAGCAACAATCTAAGAGGGAAAATGAATGGGAGAGCAAGAAGGAAAAGGTACATGAGGGGAGAGACAGGCAAAACTGGCAGTTTGTACTTCTAAAAGGAGATGCTGTCCTGTGAGGACAGGGATCAGCAGCCACATGGAGTGGGAGGGGGTGTGATATGGCAACATGTAAAGCTGGTATGGGTGGAACGACCTAACTCTGTTGGGTTAGCCCAGCTTCCTGAACAGTGGGAGACCCTGTTTTTGCTCAGCTGGAGCCTTCCCGTGTTCATCACCTGTACAGACAAGAGGGCTAAGCCTGTTGTGAGCCTCACGTTGACTACCTGTGGGTGATGTGGTTTCCCCAAGCAACTGATGCAAGAAGGTTTGAGATCACCCACACTGCACCAGCGCTTGGTCCCCAAATGGCAGTTGCCTCATATGCTCAGCTTTGGGTCTTCTCAAGACAACTAACATGCTATATGTCCTACAGTGGCAAAATACTGGGCAAGGTCGCTCTGGTATAACCATAGGAATGGAATAGCTCCTCATATGACCTCAGGCGGCAAGAGCCTGCTTGCTGCCACATTTACCTTTGTGTCCCTGATCATGTGCGCTTTGAGGTAGGAAGCTAGTACGTCCCGATGCTCTCTGCGGTACAGCCACCGCTGCCTTTTCTCTGAGAGGGCATTAAATGCAGCATCTGTGGGCCACAGCATGGTGAAGGGTCTATGCAGGGGGTCATTAACCAGAGGCAGCAGCTCTGCGTCCTGTCCAGGGTACGAGGGGATAAGAAGAAAAAGTAACAAGCCAAAACTGAACATGCTTGTGTACACATCAGGTCCCCATGCTATGGCAGCAGTCAGGCAGCTCACCTTTAGCAGCTTGCTATAAATGTTGTACCCAAAGGCCTCTGCCACCTCTGTGATATTTTGCTGCAGAGGGAAGAAAGCAACAAACCAATGTCACTAAGAGGCTTCAGGAGAAAAGCCACCGTGCCAGTTTGTCTTGAGTCACAGTCCCTTCCCACAGGTAACTGCAGTGGTTCTGCAGTATATTGAGAAGATCCATCACAAAGCCCAGTGTGTCCAGTATAGCTCAGTAGTTGATGCCAGCCTGTTTTGACTGCTGAGTTAGTGGCAAAACTAACTCCTTAGAGGGAATGAAAAGCTGCCTTTCCATGCATGGGCAGGCACCAGGTCAAACCAGCTCAAATCTTTATGTGGAAATGAGTAAAGATTCCCCTGCCATGCACACAGACTGACTTTTGACAGCACCCTTGGCTGACTCTGCCCAGGGGGCTTGTCTCTA